TGACCTTCTGTATACGATAGAAGCTTGCCTTGTAAATAGGCTAGCGCGAAAGGGACTTGTTTTTGAAGAGCTGCGTCGGGTCATGATCAAGGAAAGTGTACAGAAACTGACGTGAAATTTGTTTACTATACTTTAGATGTTTAATTGGGTGTGTGGTAGAACGGTACCGCATAATCTTTGAATCGATTTCAAACAAATGAGATGGACTTGAGAATGTGAGGCAGCATTCACAGAGTAGAATACTGCGATCACCGATCAGTCATTACTCGTGGTAGCGTATTGTAAGCCCTCACGGGTAGGTCCAGCATTCAGCCTAAATCAACCGTGAAGCAGTAATGCGTTCTAGTTTGAATCTGTCGGGTCGTCGCCTCCCCTCACGGGGGCGCGGGATGGCACTCGGGGATTCCCTTCTGGCCGGGCTTGTAACTCCCTGCCTATCGAGGCAGGGGTGATGAGCTGTAGGCTTAAGTAATGTTTTCTCTTCTCTCTTCTCTATTCTCTCTTCTTTTGAGAAAAGGGACATCTGAAAAAAGTGCTATTCATAAGGGGCGTTCTGTGAGCTTGCACCGGTAAGTGACACCAGCCTATTTCTGCCGCGAAGTAGTAATGTGTTCCAGTTCGAAGGAAAGGGTGGCTGTTTAGTATAGAACTGAGACATAGAACTTATACCTTGAGACATAATTCTCAAGTGGCTGGTGGCATACACTTTCATGTCTACGGGCTCCGGTAAACACTCAGCTCGTTGGTAGCATAAAATAAAATATATTAATTTAAAAAAATATTATTTAAAAAAAACTCATGTTATCAATTTAAAGCTGAAGACACATTTTTTTTAGTAAGCGATAATTATCTCTTTTCTAAAGCAGCGCTTAAAATAGATAAGAAATTCGTTTCCACTTAAAACTGAATAGAATATTTTTTTCAGACTTACAGAGACAGAATTTATTCAAACATCGTTACATTCGAATAAAAAATTAAAAATCTAATTATTACTTTTTGTAAACCTAAAACATTTTTAATTAATATAACAAATACCAACTTAAAAGTTCTTGCTATTCTCAACCATTTCATTAAACGGCTTATGAGCTTTAAAGCCCATGTTTGTGTAGTCTACAAAGCTTACTCAATTTAATAGCGTAGACGCGATGTTTCAAAGGCGAACGTAAATTCCGTATGACACAGTAAGCATGTTATTAGAAAAAGTAATTTTAGCTCCAATTACGCGAAAGTAACATTGTCATTACCGGAATACGGCCTATATTACATTGTATTGTGGTTAGCACATTATTACATTCTTTGCATTTCTCAAGGTTTATTACAATCGTGTAGAATAGGTATACAAATCTATAAATCTATACATATTATAAATAAAATGGGAGTGTCATTTTGTAATATTGAAATAACCGCTTTTTACTACATGCATATTAATATATATACGGTACATACCTACACCAAAATAACATTTTTTACAATTTTTGTCTGTCTGTCTGTTTGTTCCGGCTAATCTTTGGAACGGCTGGACTGATTTTGACGAGACTTTCACTGATACGTAGCTGATGATATAAGGAGTAACTTAGGCTACTTTTTTTAGACTAGCTTCGCCCCGCGGCATCCCCCGCGGTACGACAATAACCGCGGGTAACATCGCGGGACTCAACTATCAATAATAAAATTTAATGTTTCCGAAGCGAAGCGAGGGCGGGTCGGTAGTAAATAAATAAAGACAAAACAATTCGGTAGCAAATTATACTCTGTTTGTTATCCGTTTTTTTTTTATTGATGATTTTTAGTGCTATGAATAAATATGAAATAGTCGTTTTTTGTTTTAAACAAAACGCTACTAATTGACTGGCTTAAAAAGAAAATCTATTTTTAAATAATATAGGAAATGTTGTACGTAAAATGAATCTAAATCTTGAGGCGTCAGTGATTACGGTCGAATTTGAATAAGTCAGTGAACACTGGTAAGTAAAGAACTCTCATTTCACTTTTTTTGTGTCTTATTTAATTTTGGGCTCAAAATGATTTATAACCTTTTACGCCTTTGCTGTCATCAGTTTGAGTTGAAACTCTGTATCTGTGTATTACTTCTACAATTACTATGTATTATAATAATTTATGGATCTAGTCGGACGACGGAGTCAGAAGCCGGTCAGGTTTTGACTCATGCTTAATAATAAGGACTCACTTTAGAATTTCTCTCTTTAAAATGCACGTCCCCGGATACTCTGCTAGAAATTATGGAATGAAACTTATTATAAATAAGGTATTGGAATTTTCGCTACAGAATCAGATGAGCTTCAACTTGTCCAGAAAATCGCGATATTGCAAAATCCTAATTCTCTGCTTAAATCGACGGCATGTCGTACCCAAGTGGACGCCTGATAGCCATATCATAACCTTGTTGGGGTACATTGAAGAATCTGTACTTTTACGAAGTTTCTTTTTTGCTTACTTATGTCCTGGTAGCCTAAAGGGGTATTCCAGCTACCCTGAGGCTGGTAGGTGAGCTCACGGAGCTCAACCTGACGTAATTTACTAATACTGACCCAAAAGCAGTACTTCCACAGTACAGTAACCACCGGATCAAAATCGCGACCCACTGAGAAAATCCGGCGAGAAACTCAGTTGGTTTTTCTTATTCGCCAACATTAATATTCTATCATATTGACTAACAAGAACAGTTTTGCATTGAATTAAAATTAATTTCTCAAGAAGACAGCACGGGCGAACTGTTTCTGGTGGTAGTACAAGTTCATCGGAGCCTATAGACGTCACAACGTCAATGCCGTCAAACCTTGAGGAATGAGATCTAAGCCTCGGATTTATCGTATAAAGGCTGTCCTACCTTTCAAAGCGCATTACTATTTCGCGGCAGAAATAGTTAGGCTGCTTTTCAGTACAGATAGGCAGGGTGGCGGTGCCTGCCCGTGTGGCTCTACAATACTCTCTACCACCGAAACCAAATTTACGTTGACCCAGTTTTACAAATATGTAGCAAAAACACATTATAAAAGGACACCACACATAATCGATTACATGTAAATTTATAGCAGCGGGCGCGACCGGATCACATGTATTCACATCTCAATATAGATGACACACCGGTCGGATCGATCCGAATTTCCTTCCTAGCGAACACTCGTTTTCAATTAAACTGGATCAACTATAATTAAGTGGCCGGATTGAAAACGTTAAAATCGATAATGTCATTAAAAATACTTTCACAGTTTCCTCTTTGTTTATTTTTCCCTACCTTTTTTTATTGCTTAGATGAGTGGACGAGCAGCCCACCTGGTGTTAGGTGGTTACTGGAGCCCATAGACATCTACGACGTAAATACGCCACCCACCTTGAGATATCAGTTCTAAGGTCTCAGTATAGTTAAAACGGCTGCTCCGCCCTTCAAACCGAAACGCATTACTTCTTCACGGCAGAAATAGGCAGAGTGGTGGTACCTACTCTATTCCTCTAAAACAGTGAACGGAAAACATATACATCTGGTCAGGTAGTAGCTAGGATTTTATTATAAATATGTTGATGTGTGTACGCAACGTAGACGTCTGCCGTGATCAATATAAGTTTTTAAGACTACAATAAACAACATATCAATGGCAGATCTGGTCAATTACTTTCAAAATTTTATTTTTTTAGTATTTTCAAAATTGTCTGCCACAAAGTAAAACGCGCGATAACGGTCTGCCATTCTTATTTTCCGATAATAATAATCATATATTTTCAAATTTCAAAACGGCAAACGTGGTCAAATGGATTTAAAATCCGTCAAAAATCGATACCTGTCTTACCTGAGCGCTCGGCCCGTCGGCCACTTTGAGCTTAGTGAGTCCCCACCTCATGCATGGTAGGTATAGGGGTCTCAATGTACAAAAATTCAGGTCTGGTCAAATACATACAGGTATTCGCCCACGGGCTCTTGGGCTATTAGGTTAAGGCACTATTTGACTTTTGCCCGGACGGGTAGGTGAGCTCACTGGCTCAGTCTGAACTAACACTAGCCACAGCAAGAGCAGTGCTTCGCCGAATTGACCACCGGAATTTCGTTATGACTAGACATTCCGATGTTTCAGATATTTCATATTATCGGTGGTCGCGCTCTCTAATAAGATTTTATTTCTCTACAACTTAAGCTAGACTTGAAACTCACTTATCGAAGTTCAAAAAGAAAAACTTCAGCGTTGCTTCTTTATTTACTTCTAGTCAACGTAAGTTGCTTTAAACCAGAACAAGACGTCTAAATTGAATATCAAGAAAGCTGGCTGAATTCTTATTAATTTGTATTTATATTTATAATACTATTTTATCTTTCTGAATATTTGATCTTTCCTATGTTTTACCTAGGTTTTACCATATAATTACGATATGTTTTGAAGGCCATAAAAGAGCATAAGCATTATTAATCGACGATACATATTTAGGAAATGTAATGAAAATTAAAACCGTGGTTTGAACAAAAGATTGTCCATTTTATTTGGTCGGGCTTTTGAAATTCATGGATTCGTGAATAGAATGCAAATCGTGACCGACGAACTCCATTCACCCGGACGAGAGGAAGACTACAAATTTACTGCTTAATTCAGTATCAGACATGCCTTTGAAATTATTAAACTTTATCACCAAACATGAGGTACAAAAATAGGTATTGCGGGAATAGCCAATAAGTTGTTTTTATCATTTAATAGTTAGATTACGAAACTTAGATAATTTTTTTTGCTTAGATGGGTGGACGAGGTCACAACCCACCTGGTGTTAAGTGGTTACTGGAGCCCATAGACATCTACGACGTAAATGCGCCACCCACCTTGAGATATAAGTTCTATGGTCTCAGTATAGGTACAACGGCTGCCCCACCCTTCAAACCGAAACGCATTACTGCTAGACGGCAGAAATAGTCAGGGTGGTGGTACCTACCCATGCGGACCCAGAAGACGTCAAACCACCAGTAAAATTTCTATTAGACAAAAATGTATCTTTGTTCTCAGGCCATCGAGCCCACACAGTGTTTGTGGGTGTACACGTGCCCGCCCGCAGACACTCCCACAGGAAACACAAACACCACCACCGCAACGGGGAGAAGGAGAGCGAGAAACCAGGTAACCAAACAAAATAACGCAAATAAATAGCACACAAACAAACATATCTGCGACGTTATGCTCTATAAAGTATATGATTTTTATTGCCCTCGTAGGCAGACGAGCATAGGGCCCACATGATGATGAGTGGTTACAGTCGCTCATGGACATCAGCAATGCCAGGTGCAGAGCCAAACCGCGGCCTATGCTAGTTATATTATTATGATCTCATGTCAATATTAGAAGAAAATGTTGGATAATTTATTTTTGAACAAGCTTTTAAATAAATAACTTTATGTTTGAAGAAACTGTAATTTATTTATTGAATTCACCATTAGAGAGATGTGTGATTGAGGTTTACCATTTTCGCTTTTAAGACCACGATGGTAACCGATGGTAACCGATGAAAGGCGATTGCATGCAGCAGAGATGCGAATGTTGCGATGGATGTGTGGAGTAACGAGAATGGATAGAATACGAAATGAATATGTTAGAGGAAGTCTGAAAGTGGCACCTGTGACAGAGAAGCTGAGGAGTGCGCGTTTGGGATGGTATGGACATGTGATGAGACGAAATGAAAATGAGGTTGGTAAGAGAGTGTTAACTATGAATGTAGAAGGATATAGAGGAAGAGGTAGACCTAAGAAATGGATGGATTGCGTGAAAGACGATATAGGTAAGAGGGGAGTGAGCGAAGAAATGGTATATGATAGAAGAGTATGGAAGGAGAAAACATGTTTGCGCCGACCCCAGGTGACTGGGAGAAGGGCAGGATAATGATGATGGTAACCGATGGTAAGTACCACAGCCCTGCCTATTTCTACCGCGACGGCTTGACGGGTGGAAAATTCGGTATATACTGTACAATTAAGACTAATGACCTAATGACTCAATATAAGTTTTTATAAAAAATAAAGAGTTTCAATGTCTTTTTATAAGTATTTATTCATGATTAAGAGCGTAAACAGATCGATTGGTTTTGGACAACCACCGTAGATTTATTGTCAAAGGGCTGCCAACAAATTTCCCTATTTTACAAATTGATTGAATTAAATATGAGTTCTCCGTTTCCAAATTCACTGAACATCATGGATGAACTCCCACAAACACAATTGGCTTTTTGAAGAAAACAAATTTGGTATGCGGTTTCCGTTTTCCCATTATGTAATTTTTGCCTTTGCTTGCGTAAAAAAAAGAAAACATTCAATACAAATAAAAAGTTTTTCTACTTTTTTATATGCATATGAGTTTTTGTATTTTCTTTTTCGTATTCTGTATACTGGTAGTATTTGGTCGTTGAAACTTTATTGAGTAATAACGGTGATCAAATTCGTTCTTCAATGAAGGTTCTTGACGCCCTCACCGTATGATGGATAATGTCGAATTGTTTCTTTAAATGAGTAAATGATTTTATATTATGTATTTAGGGACGGTTCCAAAGCGCGGCCAGCATTATCTATTATCTCTATATATAAAAATGAATTGCTATTCGTTAGTCTCGCTAAAACTCGAGAACGGCTGGACCAATTTGGCTAATTTTTGTCTTGAATTATTTGTGAAAGTCCAGAGAAGGTTTAAAAGGTAGATAAATATGAAAATGCTCGGAATTAAATAAAAATAACAATTTTCTTTTTTTATCGATTAAGGCACTACGAAGTCTGCCGGGTCAGCTAGTTCAGCTATAATAATTCGTAACAAAAAATATTTTTGAGAAAAATGATTTTCTCCTCTCACCCACTACAGAATTTTATTCTAATATGTGTTTTTCTATATGCTTCCGGGTCTTAAACACAGGGTAGGGCCAAACAGAAGCCAGTTACCAGTTATACCAGTTTTATAGTTATTAAAAATGTATTTTGGTACTAGCTCAGTGTGGAGCACGAACGCTTTCCACGCTTAACTGTCTTATAATAAAATCAAATCAAAACAAAATCTAGAAATTAATTATTACTGAAATGAGCCCAAATTACCGATATTCGAATCTCGTGCTTGTTTCTAGATCGAAGCGTAGACGGAAGGGTGGAATTACTGTTATGACAAATTTCAAAATGGCGTCTCGTGTTAAGTGACGTTTCTAGATATTCATAGACTACCTACAATTAAAAAATAAAGATCTCAAATACCATTGATATCCTTAGGGCCCCCGATAATGTCTCGCGTCAGAAGATTGAGCGTTACGGACGACGGAAAAACATGTAAGAATTAGAAAGATTAAAATCAGCTGCCGTTTCTTCTAAGCCCTCTTATGTTTTAAACTGTCATTCCATTGTTATGATCTTTCAAGGATTTCGACGACTTCATTCGTGACATACGCATGTTATTCACCCTGTTTCGCTTATGATTCTATAGATGTTGCTCTAGATTTTTGTTGGAATTTACACACATTTTCTGTACTTGCATTGTTCTCCTTACGTAATGATTTTTAAAGTTTGAACCGACGATTGAATTAAACCACTTATAAACACAATAATTCAAGATTTGAAGCCGGGTAAATGTGTTATTGGTTGAATTTCTTTGCACTTTAAATTTTATAGTGTTATTTATTTCTGATATCTTCCTGAGGGTATAATTTAGAGAGAAAAAACACTTCTGTATTCCAGTGACTCCACCAGCACAGAGAGTACAGTTCATACTTGGCGAGGATGTCGATGATAGCACACTTGAATCTCATCCTTTATTTTCCGAAATGGAAGAATTGGTCAAAGAGGGTGACGAACTGGAATGGAAAGAGACAGCTCGATGGATCAAATTCGAAGAAGACGTCGAAGAAGGGGGCAATCGTTGGTCTAAGCCACACGTTGCCACTTTATCATTGCATTCGCTTTTCGAGCTCCGCAGCCTGATCCTAAACGGCTCTGTCATACTGGATATGGAAGCTAGTTCACTAGAACAGGTAGCGGATAATGTATTGAACAGCATGGTGAACGATGGGTCGCTTGGATATGACTCTAGGGAAAAAGTTAAGGATGCACTGCTAAGACGTCACAGACATCAACATGAAAGACGAAACCACAATATGTCTAGGCTACCTCTAATTAGATCGCTGGCCGACATTGGCCGCAATCACTCCTCTTGTAAAAGTAAGTTTCTTTGATTAATAAAATAAATATGTCTTAGTTTCATTAACTTATATTTGTTTTACGATTTCTTTTTTTAAATTAATATGGAAGGTATTGTGGGGTGAACTCAGATTTTCAGGATGGTGGCTCTCGACGCTCCAGTTCGAGGAGTTGTCGAGGGTCCACCTCATCACCTCACACGGCTCTACTCCAGGCAGCCGACGAAAGAGGCTGCTACCTAGCTGTTCCAGGTTAGCTAAGCGTGAAAATGGTAAAAACTGTGTGAATATTGGCTCACTCAATTCACAGCCTCGGTTCTCACAATGATAGAAGTGCACCCACTTGGCTAATATAAATTTTGTAAATATTATAATTGTAAATATTTGTTTGAAGATGGTTTAATATAATACGTAAGATTATGTATGTTCGGACGGATTGAATTTGAAAACTTCTTGAATATTGGTCTTTATATTACAGTGGAAGAAGGCGGTACAGCAAGTGGAAATTCTCACAAAGGAGAATTCAGTCGTTTCCTAGGCATCCCTAACGCGGGTAACCGCTTATCCTCTTCGATGTTATTTCTTTTGTATTGTTTGATTGTTTGTTTTGCATTTTGCCATCCAATTCAGTACCTATGAGTTTCAGTACTGCTTTTTCTGTCTACGATTCGTGAAATTATAGGTGTAATTTCAAAATTATTTTCTTCAGTCCCAATTCAATACAATAAATAATCCGTTATTAAAATCTGCATTACATTTGTATCGTGATATAAATATCATCATAATGCTATTGTGTTCGTTTGTATGATAATTTAACAAGCTTTGTTAACATTTATTTGCACTTTTAAGCCAGCGACTAAATGTTATGTTTCTGCTTCTGTTGCGGTTTTATGAAACTCAAGTTTATGTTTTAGGTGGTGCCAGCGACGAAGGCATGGTAAAGAGTCCAAGCAGCGTTTCAATGAATCGCCATCAGAGTACAGGCGATCTCCACTTGAACGGAGATATAAATCATAAGTGTAATTTAAATTTTATGAGAAAAATTCCACCAGGAGCGGAGGCCTCCAATATCTTAGTTGGAGAAGTCGATTTCCTTGAAAAAACATTATCAGCATTCGTAAGACTTAAGACCGGGACCATTATGGGTGATTTAACAGAAGTACCAGTCCCGACCAGGTTTATGTTCGTTCTATTAGGACCGCCAAACAGCAATTCGAGTTTTCATGAAATCGGCCGTGCTATGGCCACATTGATGTCCGATGAAATATTTCACGAAGTCGCTTACCGAGCTAAAAAGAGGGATCATTTATTAGCTGGCATAGATGAATTTCTCGATGCTGTCACGGTTTTACCACCAGGTGAGTGGGACCCGGCCATCCGTATAGAACCACCAGCAGCTATACCCTCGCAAGATCCTCGGAAGCGTCCTAATGATAATCCTAAAGATGAATTAGACGAAGAAGAAGAGGAGCAAAAACAAAGAGAAGAGTCAGGATTAGCAAGAACAGGACGATTATTTGGTGGCCTAATAAATGATCTTAAAAGAAAAATGCCATGGTATTGGTCGGACTTCAAAGACGCTTTAGCTCTACAATGCATTGCCTCGTGGATATTTTTGTATTTTGCATGTCTATCACCCATAATAACTTTTGGCGGACTACTTGGCGAGGCGACTGGAAAGAATATGGCAGCAATGGAGTCTTTAGTATCAGGATTTGTCTGTGGAATGGGCTATGGTTTCTTTTCCGGACAACCGTTAACGATTTTGGGCTCGACGGGTCCGGTATTGGTTTTTGAAACGATTGTATTTGAATTTTGCAGACAAATAGGTTGGAATTATATGTCGTTTAGATTTTGTATTGGGACGTGGATCACGGTTATTTTGATCATATTGGTCGCGATCGACGCAAGTGCGCTTGTTTGTTACATAACAAGATTTACAGAGGAAAATTTTGCCACATTAATAGCCTTCATTTTCATTTATAAGGTAATTAGTCTGATAACAGATTACTGACGGGCACTTAGCTATATAGAACTTATACCTGGACCCTGAATACCAAAGATCTGTAAATGCGCTAAAATGGCCTATCAATTACTTGTATATTATGTGTTTGACACGAAATTCATATTATCTCTTATAAATATATTATTTCTAAAAAAAAAAAGATATTTTTGGTCTATGACTGGCTGTATTTTTAAATTTAGCTTGCTTAGGTATGAGAAACAAAAGAACAAATTGAGGATCCGAATCAAACTAGTGTGTTTTCCTTTCTCCGACGTTTTTATTCCAACTCCTCTGATAAAACAGGATAAATTATTACGCTATTAATAATAAAGATGTTTATTACAGGCAGTTGAAAACGTTATATCTATAGGAAAGAAATATCCTATGAAGACACGCGCCGACGAAGGCTTCAATTACGAGTGTTATTGTTTACCAACCAATTATTCTAGAGTACCGGAGCAATTTAATTGGTCCACTGTTGATAAGGAGGCTTGTCAGGTACATGTAGTAATTACTTATTACGCAATCCAGTACAACTTACCACAATTATAGGAAAAAATATAGAACTTGCATTAGAAAGAAAAATAGAAGAGTAGTATTATATTTTAATGTTGTTCATGCAGCGCATCAACGTCAAGAATACTATTAAAAAATGTTTTTCAGTTAAACAATGGAACGCTAACGGGAGAAGGATGCCATACAAAGGAATATGTACCAGACGTTTTTCTGATGTCCATAATACTGTTTCTGGGAACTTTCACAATTTCAATTATATTAAAGGACTTTAAAAACTCACTATTCTTTCCATCGAAGGTACGTATCAAGATTTACTTCATAACGCTTTTTTTTAATGTATTTACTGACTAAAGCCTCATTGTTTCAGATAAGACAGGTCATAAGCGACTTTTCAGTTATTATTGCTATATTATCAATGTCATTCTTGGATTATAAAGTTGGGGTCAAAACTCCCAAACTCGAAGTACCATCCGAATTAAAGCCAACGTTGCCCACGAGAGATTGGGTTATTACACCATTCAATGGAAACCCGATATGGTCAGCCTTGGCAGCCTTACTGCCCGCACTATTGGGCACCATACTTATTTTCATGGACCAACAAATAACTGCTGTTATCGTGAATCGTAAAGAGAACAAACTGAAGAAAGGCTGCGGCTACCATTTGGATTTATTCGTTTTGGCCATATTAATACAAATCTGTTCCGTTATGGGTTTGCCGTGGTTCGTAGCGGCCACGGTTCTTAGCATTAATCATGTGAATTCGTTGAAAGTTGAATCGGAGTGTGCGGCTCCCGGAGAAAAGCCGCAATTTCTAGGAGTCAGAGAGCAAAGAGTTACCCATATACTGATTTTCTTGACCATAGGCTGCTCGGTTGTATTGACACCGGTTTTAAGGAACATTCCCATGCCGGTACTTTTTGGAGTCTTCTTGTATATGGGTGTAGCGTCACTGAAAGGCTTACAATTTTTCGATCGGATTCTGATAATGTTTATGCCTCAAAAATACCAGCCAGACCACATGTTTTTAAGACAGGTATGTTGGCAAAAGCGATAATATGTACGCGAAAGAATATCGCATCGAAATTTACTATAATTTTATGAATGTTTTAGGTACCTATACGACGCGTCCATCTTTTTACCGCAGTACAATTAACCTGCCTCGTTTGCTTGTGGGTAATAAAATCTTTCTCTCTAACGTCGATTTTATTCCCTTTAATGTTGGTCGTTATGATTGGAATAAGAAAGTCATTAGATTGCTTCTTTACGAGGAGGGAACTGAAAATACTGGACGACGTGATGCCGGAAATGACAAAGCGAAATCAGGACGAGCTGCGAGAACTTGGCGGTGCTGAGGTGGGATGGCATGCAAAACTATTACGTCTTTGCCATCGATATTAATTCCAAGCATTTCCAAAAATCATGTACTCACTTTTATTATCGCACTATCACATTTTCGTGTTTATGTTTTTGTAGTTGTATGTAGTGATGTTTTTGTCGCAAAATAAATATCATTCGCGTATTATTACCGTTTTTTATTTTCATCCAATCGCTTATATTCCTTAATTTCAAGTTAGATTCTTAATTTTATCTTCATTTATCTTTAAACCATTACAAAGTAATGTCGTAAAGCTTTGCTATGATTTCAAATGTCCTATGTACTTTAAAAGTTTCTTAGGGTAATTCCTTGTAGGAATCAAATAAGAGCAATCCTCCAGCATACCAAGAAAACCTACAGATACCACTTATTAATGGAAATATTATGAACATACCACTCACCTCTATAAATATCTCAGAGGAGGTAAACAAAACTGGTATATGGAAACAAGTTAATAGCAATAATAAGAGTCGTAACGATCATAAGAATAAATCCGGAAAGAAAAAGTAAGTATTTTTAATGTGTTTGATATTTTAAGGGATCATAATCTTCGTCCAGTTTACTGTCGAATAAATAGGCAAAAAAGAAATAAAGTGGTAAATAAACTAATTAGTTCAGGCAACGGAACAACGCTTCCGCCCACCGACATGACACCAAGTGTCTTTTTCTCAGGAGTACACGTAATAAGCGATGTGATAGTGCCGATGTTTTATCCAGCAAGCAAATACCAATTTTGCTAATCAAATACGTACTTAGCACTCGTTCATGAATTACTACCACGTTGGAGGAATAGTGTTAAACCGGCAAGAAATGTAATTTAAGTAATTACTATACAACTGAGCTTAAGTCTCAAAACGGGCGGTGACATTCAGTAATCAAAATCTTAAGTGCATTAAGAAAATGAACGTTATCTACAAAACTAAGGACGCGAATGTCTTGCTATCTTTATAGATAGGCTGAAATACCAAACCGTACACAAAAAGATGAAGCTTAAATCCACCGCTTCAAGCAACTAATATTTTGAATTATTATTTCAGTAATAAACACAAAAAAAATATGTCGAAAAATGCACAAACGGAAATCGAAAGGAGACTGTCCGTAATGGACGAAGTCGAAGAAGACGATCCATCGGTTAAGGTGTGCGTCATTGACACCAAATTTTAACGAGCATGTATAGATCTCGTCAACGACTATTATAAGGTTCCACTGCATGTTTAATAATTAGTTTTAATGAGTTTTACGCGCATGGAATTCACTTTTTAAACTGTAATATTTCATGACATACTTAATAGTGTTATGGTTTAATACTGTTATGATTTGAATAATTTTGTTTATATCAATTTGGTAAACAGTTAAAACTGCAGCTAACCTACTATTAATGCAATGAATAGACGTGTTTGTGATTTTCGCTTTTTTACACATTCTAACCTACTTAATTTAAATTGTTAATTTAAGTTAAAATTAATAACATCATAATTTTTTGTTTTATTTGTCCATAAAATCTAATGCAATATTTAATAATTAATTTAATATTTTATTTTAGATAGATATAGTTTTAGTTGTAAGTTAATATTTGTTTATAAAAATTTAAGCGGCTAAAATTAATTTTACCACTTAGTATTTTGTTTTGGTGTAAAGACATCCGTTCGGGTGTGGTGTATTATTATTATATTTTTACCTATCCTCAGGTTTGCATGTTAGTATAGACGTAAATACCTTGAGAATACTTGAGAAATTAAAATGACCTACATTTCTGAAGTTTTGAGCTTAGAAAAATAATTTTAACGTTTCAAATTCAATGTAAACATGGAGTTTGACTCATTACATTGACATTAAGGTCCAATATCGAATAATCTCATTTTTTTAATTAACCATATTAAATTGTAATCGTTTCTAGATACTTGACCATTATCAGGAAATGATTTCTATAAATAATATCTAAAAATTTAGGTTTTGATCTGATGTAGTACAAAGAAATTAAAAACTACAGACAGGTTAATTTTGTACGAACATCTGAACCGCCAGAAATGAGTCGTTTGCATGAAATTGTAAATAAGTTTAGCTTACATTACTAGTATCAAGAATCGTGTTAACGCATTGAAAGTTGTTCTCTTTTTTTAATTGTCATTTATTTTGTTACTGGCAATAATAATCGGCATTGTTTAAGCAATCTCGTTTGCCCTTACAGTGAAAAAAAAAGATGTGTATTTATATTTACGTGACAATTTGAATGTATTCGTCGTCTGAACATTTCCAGAGCGATATTGTAAGGCGCAAGGACTCGTGGAGCGGTGGAATCAAAAAGAGTGAATCTGGAAAAAATAATACGTCTGCCGAAACCTCGGTGTAACACCGTTTCGAAGTCTAAAAGGTTTAGTTTTATTAAGGCCAAATTTATTTCCTACCGTCTTTTATAGAATCAGTTTTTTTTTGTGGCTTATACCGGTGGACGAGCTCACAGCCCGCCTGGTGTTAAGTGGTTACTGGAGCCCATAGACATTTACGACGTAAATGCGCCACCCACCTTGAGATTTAAGTTCTAAGGTCTCAAGTATAGTTACAACGGCTGCCCCGCCCTTCAAACCGAAACGCGTTACTGCTACGCGGCAGAATTAGGCAGGGCGGTGGTACCTACCCGTGCGGACTCACAAGAGGTCCTACCACCAGTAAAGTATTTGTGTATACTTTATTTTTAAATATCGGTGTTAGTTTCAGAACATAGTTGTTAATATTTAGTATAATAGGAATATCGTAGATTATAAAAATTACTTCCAAGCACCTCTGTACTGTTATAGATGTCTAGTCAGTACCAGGTCCGTCTTTTCCATTGGCCACTATGGCCCAAGACCTGAAGATCCTTGGAGGCATCTAATTATTAATGAGACCGAGGAAAAGGACCTTATGTGCCTGTGGTAGATTGTGCACTAACCCTTTTGCATTCGCATGATGTTAATTAAAAGTCATGTGTCATTAGAGACTCAATTATCTCCAAGTTCCAGCGCCTCCAATAGGTTTTAGATATAGGTAGGTATTTTGTAATAAATGTATAACTGTATTAACTAAGTAGGAGGCCCTGTTAGTTACACGCAAAAAAGTGCCAAATATAGCAGCAGTCTCTACGTATTAGAACATAATGTGTGATGTAGGTTAGCAAAATCATAAGTATTGTTTTTATTCAGAAAAACCACAGTTCGTTATAAATAGCAATTATAAAAATGTGCTATTTTTTCTTATCTAAATGGAAAGCAAAACCAGACGGTAAATATGTGTCTTGGGGGAAGAAAAAGCATATAACAATATACCAGTCAATTAGGAATTAAAAAATTACCAATTATTATTCGATTAAATACCTCTATAGAAAATCTGATTTATCTTAAAGTTTTATGTTTACACTTAAAAAATATCAATTCTACAATATTTTATTTTAATCATAGACAAGAATGTGCACAGAGTATCTACCAATGTGTATTCTAGGACCGATTTGCTTTATCGATAACTTTGAATTATGAAGATTATTGCAGATAGATTAATAATGCCTGCCTGCAGAAAAGTATAGGGCGCACTCAAGTTGCCTTCCGCTGAGAAATCTTTTCAAGCGTCGTTTGATTTAGTGTGATGAGATCATAACACTTGTTCTGTGGAGGAATGTATATTCAGAGCTGAATGATACAGGACATAAAATAATTCTTGAAAACTGGATAAATTTGTACCTGTGTCCGGTTTGTGTGATTTTTAATAGGTAGACACAATTATTTGTATTTAATCATAGTAGGTAACTCAAAATATTGATAGTTTAAATGTATGTTTTATGGTACTGTCTTATTTGTTAATCTTTAAAAACATGTAAGTGTTTATTTTGTAACGATTTAAAATCCAAAGACAAAATTAGTTTTTAAAATTACGTTTCGATCTAAAATTTAGCCTAATAATGAATCTACGTAAACTGTCAATTTACAAAAACAAAATTAAACTTTCGATTATCTAAATAAAATTAGGTATGATTAGTTACATCTTATTTACATATAAAGCATGGCGTGTAGACGTAAGAACTGTCTTATATTAGAGACATGTTGAAATAGTGTCCCGCTGTAAGTGACAAATTACAACTCAGGAAGCCACCGAAATAAAATTGGCGTAGCAAATGATATGATACGGATGTAGCAGCTGTAAAGCGAGTGATGTATTAAAAAAATATATTTTAATTTTCAAGGCGCTATTTTTGAAATTTCACCTCTTGCTACAGTGGCGCCACCCTAATTGGTCACTTTTATAGTAGAAAGTGCTATGTACCTCTACCCGATATAATATTATAAACCAAGACTAGAACTTAGTGAAGTAGTCGTAATTAAGCATTTTGAATCAATTATACCATTTATTATGTTATCATTGGTCGGTTAAAGTTAATCATCAATGTTTGTACCTGGCTGTATGTTTGTTACGGATTTGTATCGTTTTTATTGATATTAAATGTGGTGTGTTAACAAAAGTGCTTTTATTTATTTCAATTTATATATTGGTGCATTTTGACGACTGAGTCGTGAACTCGATTGACACTTCGGGCATTCATTATGATGTGTAGATATGTATTTGTCTGGGTATCTAATTTCTTTTTTTTTCGTTGATATCCTATGGGGCTATTTTAACTTCTCACGGACCGATAGATGAGCTCACGTGCTCAACCTGAGAGAATTTGCTATCACTAGTCCTAGCAACACCATTGCTTAGCAGAATCTATCACCGGATCGGAATCGCAACCCACTGAGAAAATCCAGCTTGAAACTCAGTGGGCTGTGTCTGTGGGTTAGTACGCACATCGATCTTTTAGCATGTCGCACTAACAACCAACGCGGATTCATTTTTTAATGAATCATTACGGACACGTTGAATACAAATAGAGGTTTTACCTTCCATTTAACTCCAGTTAATTGCAAAAGTTTCAACCTCAAATTTACGAAAAAAACGAAAATAAAACAATAACATCGTAATTAGGTAGTTCTTGTTATAAATAAATCTTAATATAATAATAATAATTTACAAAATCATTTTTCTACGGGCGTTAATTTTTCTTTTTCTTCTGGTCTGGTAGCAGCCCCATTTCCTCTTGGTGCTTCCTGATCAGTTGCTCCTGCACGTCCGGTAGACAAGGCGAGTACCGGCTGTACTCCATACTGAACTCTCCTTTACCTTGAGTCATTGACCTGGGTAGACGATTTGTATTAAAAGAAACAACATATGGGCATCGATTTGACTGTGACTCTGGCATTGATGACGTATATGAGCGACGGTAACCGCTTACCATTGGTTGGGCCGTATGCTCGTCCCCATACAAAGGCAATAAAGAATAAAAACAAACCAGTTTTGACAAACTAATCCCATCCCTTGTTAAAGATACAACTTTGAGTAATAAAACTGGTGGTAGGACCTTTTAAGTCCGCATGGGGAGGTACTAACACCCTGCCTATTTCTGCCGTGAAGCAGTAATGCGTTTCGGTTTGAAGGGTGGGGCAGCCGTTGTAACTATACTGAGACCTTAGAACTTATATCTCAAGGTGAGTGGCGCATTTACGTCGTAGATGTCTTTGGGCTGCAGTAACCACTTAACACCAGGTGGGCTGTGAGTTCGTCTACCCGTTTAAGCAATAAAAATAAAATAAAAAAAACTATGCATAATTACTTCACATGACTACTTAGCAACAGAAATAGGCCGGATGGTGATAGTTAGTTACTCTTGAGAGCTTGCAATAATAGCCCCATCACCAGTAAATACGCCTTGTAAAATAATACCAGTACCAGCTCAAGTGGTTCCGTTGTGAACGGAGTGTGGCGACTCACTTACCGCCACTACTTGGGCAACCGCCTTACAGTGTCGACAAAATCGCCGTCGCTTGTGATTTTAGCCAATCACCCGCTACCTTTATTGCCTACCTTAGCTGATAGCCTTGAGAGGCTATTTCAGCGTAGCCTTAAGTAGTAGGTGAGCTCACGGGGCTCAAACCTGACGTTGCTAACACTGACCCTTGCAAGAGCAGTGCTTCGCCAGGATCTACCACCGGATCGGAAACGCGACCCACTGAGAAGATCCGGCGAGAAACTCAGTGAGCTGTGTCTATGGGTTAATTTACTCGTCGAGCCCTTCGTCGCAAGCGACGGGTTCGGCGAGGACGGTGACCGGTGCTTGTGGTACCTAAAAGCACTGTTAGTGGATCGGGAGGATCCGTAATGACGTGCTATGGGCGACGTCGACTGTTTACCATTCGAACCACCGGATCGGGAACGAATGTTGGAATGTCGGAGATACTTCAACAGCGTATCGGCAATCTTGGAAACTGCAGGCAGTACACATTTCGATACGTCTGCCGTGTTGTGCGCTATTGTTCGTCTTTCCTTATACTGAGTTACTTAAGTGTTAATCCACTTCTACCTTATATATAAGTTCCAGACAACATTTTTTTTTTGTTTTTTGTTTTATTGCATAAATGGGTGGACGAACTCACAACCCACCTGTTGTTAAGTGGTTACCGGAGCCCATAGACATCTACGACGTAAATGCGCCACCCACCTTGAGCCATCTAAGGTCTCAGTATAGTTACAACGGCTGCTCCGCCCTTCAAACCCCTTCCCTTTGTCATATGACGATACTTTCAACGTACCTCAGTTCTCCGGCGTATCCGAACATGTTGTTGAGAGGAACCTCGGCGTAGATGGAGGTCCAGCCCTCGGCCCCCTCGGTCCCGGTGATGATGCCGCCGCGTTTGTTCAGCTGCCCGACCACCGTGCCGTGGAACTCGTCCGGCAACGTTACTTCAACGAACATGACCGGTTCGAGTATCTGCCACGCTCCCACGTCGAAAACTGAAAGCGACAATGCAAAATTAAATAAAAAATTCCCTTTATAGTCCAGTCATTTTAGGCCAAATTAAGGGCTTTTTTTTTATTGCCTACAGCCTACTTGGTGTTAAGTGGTTACTGGAGCCCATAGACATCTACAACGTAAATGCGCCACCCACCTTGAGATATAAGTTCTAAGGTCTCAAGTATAGTTACAACGGCTGCCCTACCCTGCAAACCTACTGGTGGTACATACCCGCGCGGACTCACAAGAGGTCCTACCACCATTAAAGGTAAGGTAAGGTGGTGAGGTATATCTCGGAAAATCTATCGATTTTGTGACCTTTGACCCCTGACTTTAAAACTTGTGACCATCTAATTATATGTGAATTTTGAGAACTGTTTTAGGATGCCAAAATACAATTTTTTATGTGGTAATAATATACTGGGTATGTCGATTTTCCGAGGTCAAGCCCCTATAATGACTGGACTATTATTTGAGAAGTCGGACGGGTTGTCAGTCGACTCGGCCAGCCGGAGCCCGTAGGCTTCAGTATGAGTTTGAAGATATAATAGCATGGATAACATCCTACGATTTGAAACGGAATGTTTTCGGTAGGCAGCGGCTTGGCTCTGCCCCTGACATTGCTGAAGTCAATGGGCGACGGCAACCACTCACCATTAGGTGGGCCGTACGCTCGCCTGCCTACAAGGGCAATAAAAAAAAACCATTGCTAGCAAAAAACTATAGAACATTTTATGTATCTCTATGGATTCTATAATGTGTCAAATATCATACGTTATCTGTGCTGACAAAAACAACAGATAATATAAAAATAAAAGAAGGTACAAAATAATTAAAATTCTTAGATATTTTTGACTAAGTTCTAGCTTCATAGTGGAAATGATAGGACATACAGGATTATAGGGTCTTAACATATATTATGAAAACTTATAGAAACCTCATGAATACTTCAGCTAGCTTCTAGCTATAAATAATCGCTGAACATACACAGCGGGATATATGTGAAAACTCTTGGGAGGCTTGAAGATAATCTAGTCCGCTTTGTTTTTAAAGTTGTCAACGATATCGGTCATTCTATTAAATAAAGACATCTTGGAATCATATTAAATCTCTTACCATCCTTGACGGCCCCCTTAGCTGCCAAGAAGAATGCCAGCTCACTGGAGTCCACAATGTGGTGGGCTCCGTCCTGAAGCCTGAACTTCACACCGGAGACCTTGTGCCCAGACAGGTATCCCTTTTCGCATGTATCCAGGAAACCTCTTTCAACACCCGGCACAAACTGCTTGGGAATGTTCGTACCCACAGTTTCATCAACGAATTCGAGTACTGAAACATATTTTTATTTTTTATTGCTTAGATGGGTGGACGAGCTCACGGCCCAGCTGATGTTAAGTGGTTACCGGAGCCCATAGACATCTAAAACGTAAATGCCGCCACCCACCTTGAGATTTGAGTTGTAAAGGTTTTACTTTTAACAGCTGTTTTCTCCAAACCCACAGAAATGGGCGGGGTGTGATACCTACCCGTGCGGACTCACAAGACGTCCTACCACCAATTTTTAATTTTACTAAAAATATTTTATTGGTGCTAGAGCGTATTGAGACCCGGCGCGGGCAGGTACCACCACCCTTCCTATATCTGCCGTAAACCAGTAACGCGTTTCGGTTTGTTGAAAAGCGGTAACAGTGGATGTCTGGCTGTACGTCCCTAAGTACGAGATGCAAATTAATGTTACTGGTCAAAGATAACGGAAGTCGGCCTATACCTGTGTTTTGGTGAGGAGGTAGAGGTTCTATGATGCCGCTGACTCGTGCGTACTGGCCAGCCCCGCCCGACTGTTTCTTGTGTAAATAATCGAAAGCGCAAGGCGAAATCAGCGTCTCCCTGCACATTTAATTGCAAACATTAGCCAACAAATATAATAGTGGCTTGAAGATCGTTGAAATTTCATCAGGACAGATGAGAGAGCCCCTGCTCTGCCGGGAGGGGTAGGATTTCCTAACAGCTGCCCGAGCGCCCTCACAGGAGACTTACGGCTCAAGGGCAGCTGCTTCGCAAATGCATTTAGTAGCGGATCGGAATCGCAACTCGGTGAAAATCCGGCGAGAAACTCAGCTCAATTATTTAAACCAGTATAAAATAAGTGAGACGAGTTTTATAAATTTAGGGAAGTGACTAGTTTTCTATTCATGACGAAAGTAAACTAGAAGTAAATAATGGTAGCATATTTGAAACCCAGGCGAGTACCAACACCCTACACACACAGATTAATATATTTACGTCTCTTAAAAAAATACTTAAATCCTAAAATGTATTTTTATTAAATATTTATTAAATACTAGCTGACCCGGCAGACTTCATAGTGCCTCAATCGATACATAAAAGACCTAAACTTTTGTATAAAATAAACTTAAAACAAACAAAAGGAATCCGTCCGACGAGGGGCACATCAATGGGAAAACAAAATTGTTATTTTTATTTAATTCCAAGTATTTTCATATTTATCTACCTTTTAAACCTTCTCTGGACTTCCACAAATAATTCAAGACCAAAATTAGCCAAATCGGTCCAGCCGTTCTCGAGTTTTAGCAAGACTAACGAACAGAAATTCATTTTTATATATATAGATAGAAGATAGATTCAGTAACACTCACCTGAAAGCAACCTTGGGTTTCCCAAGTTCGACCGGACAGTTATATTCTCTCTCCATTCTTTGAGCATAGATCTCAAGATGAAGTTCGCCCATACCGGACACTATAGTTTCCTTATTGTCGGAGTCGTAATGAAATTGGAAAGTGGGATCTTCTTTTGTGAATCTTAAAAGAATAAAACGGTAACTTATTGTTAATGATGTTCAATCAATAGAACCAACTAATATTATTTTTAAGCACAGATTAACATCATCCGGTTACCACTTTAGATCAGGCGGGCTGACCGGTAGGCAGCGGCTTGACTCTGCCCCTGGCATTTGCTGAAGTCCATGGGCAACAGTAACCAATCACCATTAGGTGGGCCGTAAGCAGACGAGCATGTCTAACTAAATTATGAATAATATGTTCCATTCAGATTAGATCAGGTTTGGGTAACGGAAATGTTCTCTTTACACCTTGATCTGAAAATCAAGGATAATAAACAATTTGACCTTACTTAAATTTAATGGTTTTTTCCTATTGAAATTTATTCTAAGATCAAAAATATAATACTGACCTAGCAACAGCCTTAGAAAAGTTATCTCTGTCTTTATTTTGCTTCGGTTTGATGGACATGGACACGACTGGGTCAGGAACATGTATGGACTCCATTGCGAGCTGCAGTTTGGCATCGTTCACGAATGTGTCTCCCGAAGCGCAGTCCACACCGAACAGCGCGAATATATCACCGGCCAGGACCTCGTTAACCTCTTCCATGTTGTTCGAGTGCATGCGGACTAAGCGTGATATTTTTACCTAAAAAAAATACGTGATTTTAGGAGACATGCAACTGATAATTTCAAAAGGAAGGATTCGCTTCATCGAGCGAGTATTTTCGCACGTGGTTTGTCGACAAGTTGATAGTTTGATTGTTGATAGTTTATAAATATTGTTACAATAAAATTTAAATATTTTCTAAAAAGGTCAGTATTTCCTTCGGCGAAGGCGAGTCGTAGATACAATTAAAATTACTATTTTTTTCCCCACTACTTATTCGCTGGTAGCTTAAAGATCCTTTCCAACTACGCGCGAACTGGATGACTATATACTGTTACGATTCAATCTAGCACTTTTTTATTGTCATTGTTATTTCCAAATTTTCGAATACTTAAGTTAAATTGGTTTAGTTAAATCACAGATGACTGTTATTCGTCATAAAGCAATAATGCGTTTCGGTTTGAAGGGTGGAGTAACCATTGTACTGTAAAACTGAGGCTTAGAACTCATGTCTCAAGGTGGGTAGTGCCATTTACGTTTTTGGATTTGGTGGGCCGTGAGCTGATCCACCCATCTGGGCAATAAAAAAAGTAATTTAATATTTTCAACTCAAACCTTTTTGTAAGTCCTGGCATTGAATATATGGTCACCTCTCTTCAACATCCCTTGATAACACCTCAAGTATGTGAGTTGACCAAATTTGCTCACTTCCAACTTGAATGCCAAACCAACAAATGGTTTCTTATTATCCCTAGTCGGATCCAACACTATGGTTTGGCCTTCACCATCTTTGCTTTCATTTAACAAGGCAGTGTTTTCTACTTCTCCTGGATGCGGTAGATATGTGAGCACAGCATCCAGTAAGGGTTGAATTCCCTTATTCTTTAGAGCTGTACCCAAAAGCACTGGAGTGAATGCTCGTTTTAATGTGGAACGCCGTAATGCTTGCTTGAGATCATTGACTGTCGGAGTTTTCTCTTCTAGGAATAACTCTCCTATAAAATATTTAATCGCTATTAGTACTAGATATTTAAGAGATACAACATAATATAAGATGTATATTAGCAAATGTATTGATTCAATTTAAATAATTTAGGTACTTTTTATGCAAATATATACATGATAATATTTACCCAATGTTTCATCTACATTTGAAAGATGTTCAATCAATTCATGTCTCCTTTCCTTAACTTCAGTTCTACGATCTTGTGGAATCTCATCGAGCCGCACCTGCTCGCCATATTCACCATCAAAATATATAGCTTTCTCCTCAACAAGGTCCAAAATTCCTTGACACTCTTTTTCTAAGCCAATTGGTAGATGTATAAATGCAGCATTATGTTTTAATTTTGAACGCATTTGTTTGAGTACTCTGAAATTTATTTTAATCATTTATTCAAACTTTTCCTATATATGCTATAGAATATGTTTTAATCTTCTTACTTATATTTAATTGTATGCTGCTATGTAATCTATGTGAGAGTACAGTGTATATATAAGGAATAGGTGCCTAAAGAGCTGAATTATAAGCATTCTAATGCTTGGTTCAGTTTCACAAATTAAATTTTTGGAGACAGTCACCCTGAGTCCAACCAGGTATTAAGTCAGGTCCATACCAAATAATCTTTTTAACCTAACCAATATACTTATGCCTTATATATAAATATACATAGATGTTGTATTGTGAAAACTTCTAATACTGAGTTTGTAGGCAACATAGACTGTGAAAATCTTTGAATTAGTTTGAATAGAAAAATATAAACAAAGTAATAAAAATGATATGATTTCTTAATTTCATATTGTTTTCAATAACTACATACCTTTCTGGATTAGCTCCTAATCTGTCCAGTTTATTGATAAATGCAAGACATGGTACATTATACCGTTTCATTTGTCTGTTGACTGTTAAAGTTTGGCTCTGAACACCACCTACAGAACACAACACCAATATCGCCCCATCTAAAACTCTTAATGCTCTTTCTACTTCAACTGTGAAATCTACATGTCCTGGAGTATCAATAATGTTAATGTTATGTTCCTTCCAAATAGTGTATGTTGCAGCAGACTGTATTGTAATTCCTCTTTGACGTTCCAATTCCATTGAGTCCATAACAGCACCAACATTGTCTTTACCTTTAACCTGATTAAGATTTTCAAGATAATCAATGAAATTACTTTTCGAAAATTAACACATTACATCAAAATTATGTTTTTTTTTGTTAACATTTTCACTGTACTGGTTCATTAATAAAATAAAATAAATATATACAACAACATTCGGAGATCATTTGAGATACATCACGTTTTCTACAACCAGATAAAGACATGTCAGTACTCGAGTAATAATGAAATGTGAAATTAGATCTTATCCTCTCCGCAGTGCGCACTAAACTGCATTATTGCACCATCAGTCCAAAGTCCACTCAGCGGACTTTGCAGATGATGCGCTTATGTGCATGTCAATTAATTTAATTAAATTAATATTAATTAACTATACTGTAACTACGCAACTAACCTCGTGCATTTGGTCTATTCGTCCAGTATAGAACAAAATACGTTCAGTGAGTGTTGTCTTTCCAGAGTCTATGTGAGCTGATATACCAATATTTCGAATCTTTTCCAATGGTTTGTGTTCTGCATATTTGACATGTGATGAATATTTCTGTAACTAGATATACAATATTTTTTGGTGAATAGATAAACGGAAAATACATAGCGGAGAAAACATGTCAAAATTTCACAGAAAATAAATCAAGTTAGGATTTAGTGTTTCTTTCAGGTTTCAAGAGTCATGGGCATAATTAAAACAATAGACAATTAAAAACAAATTTTCTTACGGTCTTACTTCAACCGTCTTGCTACTACTTTCTACTTTAACACTGTGTTATTGTTATGGTGTATTTATGGCTCAAGGTATGCACTGCATTATAGTATTGCTTACATGTGCGAGATGAGGTGAAGTGAGGCAACTTTTTGGCTTTTCACTTTATTACTTATATGTTTTATCCATGAAGCAGTTTACATCTCATGCTGCTAAATAGTAATTGGAGCATCTAGACAGCACAATTAGTGCTTAAAATACAGTGCTTACTAAAATGAGCTTACTGGATCATAATATGAGCTCACATGCCGACAGATAAAACGATCGAACCATTATGCACTCATGGGAAAAAATATTTTTACAGCGACTCTAGAGAAGCTATGTCCTATGCCATATATAAGTTTGAGAAACACATGCCAAATGTATTTTTATCCAGGGTAGTTCATAGCTTAAAACAGAAACCAAAAATTACGTAAATGTGCCGGATGATATTATTTCCTATAGTATCATAAAATTAATGATTACCTCAATTTGAAATACACTCGATTTTTTTGTATTTTTAAGCGCATTTATTAAACGAAATGCATAAGAAATTGTCATTTTAAAATATTATATTATAAATAATTCTAATTTTATTATCACAGTTCAGTGGATTTTTAGGTTATACAATTCTAAAGTAATTGCACTGTAAATAAATGTCAATTGTCAATGTCACATATACATTACTGTCATTTTGTTTAATTCTTATGTTGGTGCCCATGCCTTCTGACGATAGCGTCAATTTTTTGGTCAATCAATTCTCGATTACTGGAAATAAAATTATGAATGGATTTTCTTTTTCTTGATTAAATAAATTCTAATAGTTGTTAATTAGTTAAATGTTAAATATAGTAAAAATAGTATAGCGTATATAAAAGTTTTGAAGTCGTCGCGTCGTGCCCTAAAGGTTATAACACTTGGAAATACATACATAACAAATATTCACGGTTGTCTATCAAGGCGAAGAAATGATATCATGCATTAAAAATAAAGCCTGCTAAATTATAGCTTGCGTAATAATTGGTTGTAGGGCCAAGCATTGTTTCGTTTCATTTTGTGGAAGCAACCGTTGTACTGTACAAACTAAGACTTTAGAAATAATGTCTAAAGTAGATGGCGACATTTGCGTTGTTGATGTCTATGGGGCCCCGATAAACATTTAACACCAGGTGGGTTGGAGCTCGTCTACCTATCAAATCAATAAAAAAAAATCAAATAACATATAAAGTCAAATAAAATATAGAATAAATAAAGTATATGTTCAAAATTAGACCGCTTTAATATTGAACGAATAAATCTGAAGTTGGTGCGATACAATTTGCGCTTAGCCAACTTACAGAAAAAAGAAAAAGCTGAAACAGTTTTCTGTTTTAGTTTAAAAAGAATATGGCCGTGTTAGGGCCGTGTGTGAGTGGAAATATGAACGGGCAAAGTAATATCCATAGTCAGTTAACAAAATCATTAGAAAGAATTTTGGAAGATGCGTACCTTAGTGGTGAATTAAAATTAAGTGGACGTAAACTTAGAGATTTTCCGAAACCTGTGAAATATGACTTGAGTGATACAGTTGTTGCTGGTAAGTCGAAGTTTTATAAATAAATGCTGGTGCATTTCTGTGTTTATTATTTTATTTTGGGCCGGTTTTACGTATAGACGACGTAGAAGAGAGCTTAAGAATCATAAAAATGTTTTATTTTTGTATACCGGCATGCGTATCGGCGACGCTATCTTTATTTGTCATCAAATCGATCGGTACCTGTGATAGCCTAGCGCAGATAGGTAATAAGATTTCCGGTCTGTATACCTATTACTGACTGCATATAATGTTTCCGAGAAACATAAAATACGATATTAAGATTACGTAGTTGCGCTGATAACAGTGAGAGAATATTTTATTTACGTTTCTTTAGATGTACACATGTGTTTTTGTTTTTCGATAACTTTGAGTGGGTTTTTATTTTATTGCTTCAAACTGTACTGAAAATGTTTACATGTGAACACAATACCACCACTCTCTGTCCTAGTTAGCCAAATTAGAAAAATGTTTTATTTTCGTTTTGAACTAAGATTCGCGGATAGGACGTTGACCTTTTTGAGTCTGCTAGTTAGTTACTGTTGTTGAGAACATTTAAGAATAGGCTAAACTAGATGAAGTCTTATTTCCTTTAATAAATGATATAATTAGAAGAAAAAGATACCTGTAACTGTAGTAAACAACATCTTTGTAAACACACACTCATCATTTTATTCTCATACTATTCTTAGGGGTCTAGTGGAGCAGAGTTCTAAATACGATGTTTATTTGTATATAAATATCTTAACAAACTTTGATTTATTCACCCACATGAATACATACAGAAGAAATAAACAAATTGAACTGACTGTTTTAACTGTGGCCCCTTGGGATTAAAATCTTAAGTGCTGTGTGGTAAACACATCTTAAGCATGTGTTAATGAACTCATTTATAGTTTTGCCCAGTCAAGTGGTTACTGTTTGGACAATAGATGATCAATTTATAAGTCTTAATATATTTTTTTTATTGCTTAGATGGGTGGACGAGCTCACAGCCCACCTGGTGTTAAGTGGTTACTGGAGCCCATAGACATCCACAACGTAAATGCGCAACCCACCTTGAGATATAAAATAAAGAATTAATTTAAATATACAAAATTAACTTACCCCAGTCTTGGTAGTTAGAAATCATGAGGAGAGAGTAGTTTGAATGTGCCATGAAATTGACGATGTCCATGATCAATAGTAAACACAATGAGTTAAGATTTGGATGGGAATCGAAATTAAAGGTGCACCAATTCAGACAGTATAGATTACAGAACAGATTTTAGTGAGGATAATTAAATAGGACTAACATCTCTAATCTATCTTAAGTAAATAATGCAATGAATTTAATCATTAAGTTGTTGCCAATCAATACAAAGGCTTATAGCAATCAATATATTTAAAATATTTGATATTTCATAAATTGCACATTAATCAGAAGATTTGTATGAGATTCAAATACTTGTTTTATTTCTGCTCGGCAGACCAAGAAAGGATCCACAGATATTATATTATATGAATGCTGCCACTGTTTGTATACAAGGTTGATAATTCAATCATATTGTAATACTGGCCATTCCATTTTTTATGTATTTGTTATATAATTTGTCAATCACTATTATATGCGTCAAGCCAAGCTACTATTCTAAAATACTTACTACTTACTATTCTAAAATACCTGCTGCCTACTATTTTAAAATATCCTGGTCATACATATTCTCAGTGATAAAACACCAAGAAAAATCTAATTTGTTTTAATTTCTAAATGGAAAGGAGCATTTTACGACTTTGGATATGGCCATGTTTGTGTAAAAAACTCACGAATTTCATCAATAGTATTCCATTGATATATAAATCTTCAAATTTTTTATTTTATTTTTTATTTTTTTTATTGCTTACATGGATGGACGAGCTCACAGCCCACCTGGTGTTAAGTGGTTACTGGAGCCCATAGACATCCACAACGTAAATGCGCCACCCACCTTGAGATATAAGTTCTAAGGTCTCAAGTATAGTTACAACGGCTGCCCCACCCTTCAAACCGAAACGCATTACTACTTCACGGCAGAAATAGGCAGGGTGGTGGTACTTGTAAAGAAATATTACTTGTAATCTAATTCGCGATATTTTTCCGCAACGTGATTATTCGAAGAATGACGATTGATTGATGGTTTAATAAACAGTCGGAAATACCGGGAGTTTAAACGGTTACTACGACATAAACGCCTGTAGGTAAACAAGTAATTAGAGTCGCAATAACAGTAAAAAGAACGCCAGCTGATTCCAGAGAATCGTTAACTGGTAGAAAGGTATGTTTCAACGTTTTTAATATTAATAAGAGATAAAAATGTACCATTACCATTCGTAATATCTTAACGCACAAACTGGCTTCGGTCGTCGATTGTTAAATTTGAATTTTGGTTATTTCACTTCCAAACGACGAGTGGCGCAGTCTAGTCGCAAACTCGCATACCAAAGAATTGTCGAAAGAATCCAATGGCCTAAAAAAATTGTAACTTAGCAAGCAGACGTAGTGTTTAAGCTAGAACTATTACTAGCAAATGATAAACAGAATCCTGCGTATTTTATCACAACATGAAAGAGGTGTTCGCGGTATGAGTGGTATAAATATACCGTATATAATCAAAATCTTGTTTCTAATTTACGCTAATTTTGCGTTGACATATTTTACTAAATGTTCGAAAATTAAATTTACGCAAACGGAATGAATAAGGTTCGTTCCATTTTAATTTTCTAGATCTGAAGACCGATCAAGCTACGGTGACGAGGCGTTGCTTAAAATCAGAAAACCTTAAATTAGCAAATCATCTACAATAACAAAATGATGAACTGAAAAACCAATGTATAATTTTTGTTATAGTTTTCCTCTCTGATGTCACTATGACCACTCCAAAGTATTTGATATGAGAAGACATTTTATACTACTCATAGTAATAGATGTTTAACCTATAATTATGTAATACTCTATCCTGTGGTCCAAGTTGTTTTAAACAATTTATTCCGGTAATTTCTAGACTACAGTGTACACACTTATGTACGTAACTAATTGACTCTTAATGCACAACAGTACATCGTGCCGCGGTGATGTAAAGTAAGCTCGCAAATGTATTTCCGGCTTTATCCTCGTGTGAATCTTGTACTTGTGACCTTAAATATGAACCTTGCTAAGTAATTAATTGTTTTGTTAGCACAACACTGGTTGATGTCATAATATCCTTTTAGAGATGTATCACGTATCTGAGTAATAATAGCATTTTAATTAGATTAGTATTTAGTTTATTATTGATTTAAATGAGATTTGCGTTTTAGCTGGCTTTGACATTTGGCTTTCCTGTCCTGGTGAAACTAGAAAGGCCTTCGGGCCATCAGTAATACTTCAAGCATAAAAAAAAGAAAAAATTTGACTAATAATTGAAATTCACGCTATACCCCTTTCCTCTAAAGGAATTATAGGCATCACCAATATTGTTAGAAACGCAAAAATGTACATTTAATTACTAACAGATTGTGGACTGCTTCGAACTCGCCCAAGAGGCGTTGCAATACTATTTCCTCTTAAATTCCATTATACCAGTATGCTGATGGGTTCGCGAGACGAGTTTACGGCCTATATGATTTTAAATGGTTACCGGAGTCCGGTATACATCACAAATTGAAAGCCGCCAAATTGATTAAAAAATTATAGTAAATTTTTTTTTAATACTCTGAAATAATTTGGTGTCAACTTTTTAAAATCATGTAAAATCAATTTATTAAAGTTCTACTAATCATAAAAGCATTCGTCAGATGAAAAAACCCAAAAATAAAATGCCACTATCACAATACAACTTCCACACGTGACAGAGGAGTACACAAAAAATGAGATACAGTGTTAAACGACCTGTCATTTAAAATTGTCCGTTATTCGCCGTCTATGTGTTACAATCACATGTGAAACTATGAAAGCACATTATTTTTTATCTGTTTGTGTTTATCGCACTATCTAGATTGGGATTAATCATTTAGGTCTCGCGTTCTAGTGCTGATTTCTAGATAAATATAACTTTTAGGTATTTATTGTACCATATGCGTCTGTTTATTTATTAAATTTGAATCTAGAATAATAATTCCATATTAATTGACATTACTTGTAATGTTTTATTTTACAGATGACCATAATAGTTTTTAACCTTATGTTGCAAAGGACTAAATATTTATTTTCCTGTATTGCTAATAGTTAAACTATGTAGGTAGTTTCCCAGCAGTCGATGTCGCTATCGTTAGAGGCAAGCTTAAATATGAACTGTATATAAATTTAATATTTTATTTGTTTGTAACGCTTGGTTATCTTGGTTATTTTTTTATTTATTTAGATGGGTAGACAAGCTCTCAGCCCACCTGCTGTTAAGTGGTTACCGGAGCCCATAAACATCTACAACGTAAATGCGCTACCTACCTTGAGATATAAGTTCTAAGGTCTCAAGTATAGTTACAACGGCTGCCCCACCTTTCAAACCGAAACGCATTACTGCTTCACGGCTGAAATAAGCGGGATGGTGGGACCTACATGTGCGAACTCACAAAAGTTCCTACCACCAGTAAAAGGTCTACCATAGAACTATTTTTAGAATAAAATTTATTGAAATAACTATAAACTACAGTTCAAGGTGAAACCCCAACAAATAGTCCAAAAAACACACGATGTATAAAAGCGACTGATTGTTGGGGAACATAAGATCCGACTTTATGGTTTTGATTTCGAGAAATACATAGGTACGTGGCAAATGACAGGTGCACAGGTGCACAAATGTGCTCACTCGAGCGTCACTGCTCCGGATACAGGGGGGACGATAACGACACCAGGTAATTCCATTTCAATCGCTCCCAAAACAATATAAAACCTTATGCCACTAAATTTAAGGTTCAAAAAATAATGGCGCAGCAACGATGGCATTAGACACAGTGCAACGTAAAAATGCCCGTTGCCTCTTCAAACGTTGACAACGATACAAGTAGAA